GATATGGAGGGGAGGGAGCGGAGTTATTGACCGAAAAGGAGCTAAAACCTTGCTTGGAGGTAAGAATCTGAAAGAGGGATGATGGGGTTTATGTGAGAGGAAGGGTTAATTTTTTGCTCAGCAAGAAACTTCGTGCTAGGAGGAAATCAGCAGTCTTAAATGTGACACTTACAATCTCAGCTAGACAAAAACGGCCAGTACAGAGTCTTTCGCAACTTGAACCTGAACTTGGAAAAAAGGTGGATATAGCGCAGCCGAGCCGAGCCGAGCTTTAGTAATTGCCTCAAACACAGGCAACTGCTAGACGGCACGTGAAAGTTTCTGTGGGGAATTCATTAACTCGGGGGCCAGAAAAGCGAGAAAGCTGAAATTTCGCGGTTATGTTCCCCCGTCCACATAGGACTCAAAGATTTCAAATTCAGCACCTTTAGTTGGACTTCCTGACAGATTCTTCATGGAGTGTTTCCCCATTGACCTGGCAGAGCATTTCACAATTTACGCCTATTGCGCATATGCATGATCTCATCAGAATTCACTCGATAGTTGCAACCGTTCATACCGTTTACTAACGGAATCCCTTCTTTTAAAGAGTTTTTTTGCATCTATGCAATGCAAAAAGGCATATTTTTGAGGAGTTGTCTGTTTATGTGTTCGCATCGAGTCTTCATCTCGAGACGTATAAAAGTTACAAAGCTGAAACATTGGGAGCTTAATCTGCATGCATGTATGGGCCCGTGGAAGTTTTTTGCGAGTAAGTTGCTAATTCGGGGATCTGAAAAGCTAGAAAGTTGAAATTTTATGGGAATGTTTTTCGCAGTCGTGGTGGCTAGTCTCAATTCTTTTAGCTAGGAACATCTGCCAAACAAAAAAAACAGTGCTGTTGGCAAAAAGCCTGTGCAGAACAACGCAAAAAACACATCTTCGCACTGGCAGCCAATGCGCTGGCCAATTATATTGAGCACTAGTTCGGAAGGAAATCGAATCACTCGTCTTCATATTCCTAAGCCAGCCACCCCTAGTACCATCCTTCCATTCCCAGGCGCCCTCCGGGAAGATGCCTTCCCATCCCTTCACCTCCTCACTTCATTTTCCCTTCTATTTGCCAGAAGCCAGTAAACACCCTGGCGCCCTGCCAGGATATCGTGTAGATATCATTCGACATAATTCGGTGACCTCGGGACCTCACTACAGTCCAATAAATTACCGGAATTGCCGTAGCGAGCACTCACGCAAAATTCCTCTCCACCCGAGCGAATTTCTCCTTTCTGAAAGCGAAGTTACCGTGGCCTTACTGATTGTACCATATCGCTCACGGAATAAATACTGCACAGGAGAGTCTGGTAAAAAATGTGTTGCCACGAAAAGCAAGCCCTAAGTGTATGCATATATGTACGTGTGTGTGTGTTTGTGTGTGTGTGTGTGTGTGTGTGTGTGTGTGTGTGTATACGCCGAAGCACAGCATTTATATACATATAAAATTAAACTGTTTAGATCAAAAAGATATTTAAAAAAAAAAACTCGTAGCAGTCAATAAAAACAATGCCAAAATGGCACATGAAATGACATAAACCGTTGGGCCAATGAGGAAGTGTTATTAAATGATGAACCGAGGATACACTGGGATATTTCAAAGCCAGAAGCCGGAGCAGGATTAATGTTCCTTGCATCACAACTTTCCTAGTTCCATACCCAGTTCCACAAATGAGGCTAGGTCAGTCTTCCTGGTATACAAATAAAGAAAATTCGAGCTCACATCACATGGGTGAAGCTCGGTCAATCTTACTGGACACTATTTGAATTCTTTCCTGGACATTAAATCCAAAGAAAAAAAATCCCAAAGGAAGAGGAATTCAAAAAAAAAAAAAGACCAAAACAGCACTGCACAAATGAAGCGCAGTCAGTCTTCCGGGTGTAAGCATCACATAAATCTTTAAATGCAAAGTCGTATTACACAGATTAGAGGCTCTGCACTTTTCTCCACATCTGTTTAAATTCATAAATTCAAAAACAAAAAATTTCACAAAAAAATGGAATCGCACGGCACAGGTGCGTTTCGATCGATCTACCTCTTATTGCAACAAATTCCAAAAAAAAAAAAGTCCAGAAGCACGCCACAAGGGGTAGGCTGGTCAGTCTTTCTGGTTTAAGGACATTCTTTAAATTCCTAAATCTCGTCCCTCTGACGCCATGACATTCTTTAAATTATTAATTTCTTCCTCCTCGCCCCGCTTTAAAAAAAAAAAATCGAAATTGCGATCCATATGTGAGGCTCATTTAGTCCAAATTAAAGGGGAAAAAAAAGAAAAATGCTAAAAAAATGAAGTTCTGTAGCCCAAAATTTCAAACTCAAAAGAGCCGAGGCACGGCCATTCTGAACTGTTGCAGTCAATATAAAAACGACTGTGCAAAAGATGGCAATGAGGAGAGCTTGGGTATCGAATTTACCGTACAAAAACCACGTGAGGAGCACAACCAAAAATCGGTGATGAACGATGAGGGGGTGCGCACGTTTAGGTTGCTGCTCCTGTGGCTGTTGCTCCTGCATCACCTAGATTGGTGCTGATTCGTCGAACCGCTCGAAGTGGCACCGAATTCGCGCCCTTCGCAAACAGAGCCTGCAAGTTATGTTTTCAGCGCATTTGAATCATCGAGCCAAGCGTAGCTATGTATTTTTGCGATAAATCATTGCTGATAATTGGTATATGGGTGCTGGAGTGTCTTCTTATCTTCCCTCTTTTCGAAAGCTCAACTCAGCGCCCTAGTTCCCTCGGACATTAGTTACCAGCTCAATCATAACCAATACGACGCCCTGCAGTCAAACCCTTAACAAGTGTACCACTGCGGCATGCAAAGATGGATCCAGAGCGGTCTTCTGGGA